TGGGAATCGATTCTTTTGCAGCATCTAAAATAGTATCTGTTAATAATGATGTTGCAATGTCAAGATTTTTCTATTGAAAGGATATTGTCCCAATTGGAATTCGACAGTATATTATTAAATTTAGTATAATTGCCTTCATTGTATTTCCATATGTGCCTTTTAAATGACGGATGTTTCGGTTTAGTTTGTTTGAGTATAGTGACTATAGGACAGTGATATCTAACTTGGTCTGAAATAAATGGATCAGAAACAAAACTTGTTAATATCGAGTTGGGATTTTTAACTATAAATAAATCAATAAGGGAACTAGATGATTCTGTAAAGTGTGTCGGCTCTGCGATTATTTGGTGCATGTTATATGATGACAATAGATTATTAAGTTTGTGTTCTTCAGGGTTAAGTAAATTGCAGTTGAAATCACCTGTGATAATTATGTTTTTATATTTTGTGTTGTATGCCCTATCGAAACTTTCTTCGAGAAGAGTCCAGTAGTGATTATTTGCACTCGGGGGACGATAGAACGCACCCAACAAGAACGATTTTGAATTATGTGTTATTTCAAGCCAAATAGCCTCGAGATCAGGAAGTGAAAGGTCATTTCTTATTTTTCCGAAAATACCATTTCGTAAGTAAATTGCTACACCTCCACCTGTTCTATTTGGGCGGTCGTAACGAAATGGACTATCAAAGTTTGGAATTTTAATATCTTCATTTTTTATATCAGAGGAAAGCCAGGTTTCGGTGAATACTACAATGTCATATGGTTGTGCTTCAATTTCAATTAGATCGATTTTTGGGCGAAGACTTTGAATGTTGATATGCATTATGCTCAATCCACTATTCAGTATATTATAGAGAGGAGAATCTACATCGTTAGACTCGGAGATAGAGGAGTTTTGCGAGCCTGGTTCCGGACCTGGGTTTGGATGAACTGAGCCAGAAATAAAAAGTAATAAAATAAAATATGATAGGAACAGGGGAAGAATTGATTTATGGAAGACGAGGAACTTGTGTAGAGACCTATTATAGTGCATTAAAAATTGAACGTTAAAATTTATGATAAATGTCGCCATGTGTCGCGCAATAAACATTACTTCATGTGATAACGTCAAGAGCTATGATATAGAGTTCTGTATCAGCGCGACACAACATCTCACAGTGCAAGAACATGACAGAACGCTTCAAGCAATTAAGTGGTCTGACAATTAACATATAATCTATACAGTAGCAAACAAATTTTATAATAAAATAATATAAAGGGATCATAACAGGTGACACGATTTAAAGAAAAAATGAAAAACTGAAATAGGATATCAAAAATAAATAAATAAATAAATAGAATTGAGTAATAAATAAAGATAAGTAGAGACGGACCTGATTGATATTCTCGATTTAGATGACGCACATGGGATGTTGAAATATAATAAGTTATTTTGTAAGAACAGCGGCTTATTAACAATGTACTATTGATAGATTTTGAAATTACTCTAAATAGAAATACAAATTAAAACAAGAGTACACATAAAACTATAGTTCTGTCAAAATAGAGTATATGTACTATCCTTCGATTTGTAACGTATACATGAAAGTAGGTGTAACACACAGTGCAATGTTTCATAGTCAAGTAAAATTAATAATATAGTCAGGTGGTTAAAGTGGCATGCCTCCAGTTTCTAATATTCGTAAAAGAAAATATATTAAATGGTAAAATAATCAACAAAAACTTAAAATTTAGTTTACATATATTTCCTTCGTTAAATTTGTGGTGAGGCTAGACTAAAATATTTCATAGAAATCGATAGACATGATCCATTTTTCTTTTTGATTTATTTTTTCTAAATTTAAATAGGTTAAAAATAGTTAATAAAAGTTTGCTCGAGCCTTAGATTAAATTTTGTTAATGTGTATATTTATACATGTATATAAGTTTACATACAATGACAACATTTAGTAAAATTCAATACAATTCATTTTGTCAGACTATAAAACTCTGGGGAAAAAGAGAGAAAAAAACAGCAACAAAACTATTTTGCAAAGCAAAAAGGCAGGTAAATCAAGTAACACGAATTCATTATTGCATTAGATTTACGTCCCTTGATCTGCTCGGGTTATCTTATAAAATAGTTTTATCAATAGTGATGCAAACAAGATTTACAAATATTCAGAAAAGGTATTACAAATAACAATGCACTAACATTATATACATTATCAACAGAATATTGCATATACAAACTTTCAAAGATGCATGTATAGGTGTAGTATGTCAAACTTTCATTTTACTTGGCAGTATACATTTATGTAAGGACATTCAGCATGTACGTACACTACTTTAATATTTTGATATATACCTATACTAACAACAAAAAAGTATGTAATGAGCGTGTGCATATCGGACCAAAACAGCAACTCAAATACAGATTTGACAGAATCGACTTTGTTAAATAAAATGTCATATTGACTATTTGGAAATTAATTTGAACAAGACAACAAAAGTTACTATCACAACGCGGCTGTATGCTAGCGTTATAGTTGAGTAGCCAATTTTACTATAACGATAAGTTAGTGAATAAAAAATCTCGTGCGGATTCACGTAGTTATGTAGGGCATACACTCTATTTACAAAGGTTACATAATATAAAGAGTACACGTTATAGTGTTGTATAAATACAGAATGTAAACATTTTTTATGTAGGTCAAATAATAAAATTTTTGCTAATCATATTGAAACAAGAATTGTTGTGCAGATCGGGTTAAGACCGACAGCTTAAGTATTTTATAATGCTGTGTTTAAAATAACAAGTTCATATGTCGATAATTCTAGTTACGAGAATTAATTGAGGGTGACATGTATTTCGAACTACTAGGAATTACAAATATATTTGAAAGCAGTGAAGTTTGATTTATGATTTGAATATTGATCCGTCTTTGATTGCTTCAATAGTTCTCATACTCTTAATGTGGACCTTCGCTCCTTGTTCAGATTTACCAGTCATAGGGTTCGTCGTCGTCGGAAATTGCGCAAAGACTTTAAATCCAGATATCCAAGTTTTTTGGAGAGTTTTGGCACGAATGAGTTGACGAGCCTCATAAGACAATTTTTCTCGATACGGTGTAATATTCTGTTGCACAAATATACCTGATCCGAGATCTTTCCTTGCGTTGTACACGCGTTGGCATGCGGCATGATTTGAAAATTTAACAATACACTTGCGATTGACGCTGAAGCCCTCCTTAAACTTGCCTTTTCTGTGAGAAACAAGTATATCTGAGGGGTCAATTTCAAGCACAGACACTTAGGGTGTGGAGCTCAAAACACCTTTAAAATCTAAATAAAATGTATATTTGTCAATCCCGCCACATGTACTGATCATATATAATTATACCAAAAAACTTAATATAAGCCGTTTTGAAAAAAAAAAAACCATATTTCAACGTCTATAATAATTATTGACGGCGCGTAGATATGCATTTGTCCGTATAGCAATTGGGAAAATTTTAGACTTGATTTTGTGCATTTTTTGGCTTGCAGTCGGCTGCAAACAATTTCATTTGGAAAACTTGTTCCGGTTAGGTGGTTTCCTGCTTACATCTGTTGGTGCATGATTGAACGGGAAACCAGCTGCAATCGTGCCAATCGCAACTTTTCGGCCTTTTCCGTCACTCTTCGGATTAATGATAACATTCGGAACTGCCTCGGCTATTATCTATAATAATCCGAAGACTGACGGAAAGGGCCGAGTAGTTGCGATTGTAATGATAATAGCCGATGTAGTTCCGATTGCAATCGTGACAATTCGGGCGATTCCGTCATACTGCGGAATCAGACGAAGTAATATTACGGAAATCTAAGCTATTTTAGTTACTTCGGTAATCCCAGTTTGTTTATATAAATAGGATTTCTATTTTTACTTGATTTATCGGTTTAAACCGTAATAAATTTTAAACGAAATTGTTCCGTTTCAATTGTTTTTCAAGACGCAAAAGTTAGTTTCTTTTAGTATTCCGTCTTCAAAGGGTGGTCCTGCTTACCAAATCACGCATGATCGAGTTATATTTAGACCGTAATTCAAAAAAAAATGTGATAATAAATTGAAACCAAAAAAAAAACAATTTTAAAGGGTTGGGATGAAGGCACAACTGTGCAAGCCTTTCCTTTTAAAAGGAAACTTTATTTTGTTTTAACAAAATCACACTGTTTTCAAATTTTCTATTAAAAATAGCTTTTCTAATGTACAACATGTCACGTACAGAGCTTTAAGGGATTAAAATAAACGTTCAACTGGAGTGATAGTGTCATGTTTGAATATCATATTCTTTTTATAATTATCTAATTTTATCTACCTAATAAATAACGTGCCATTGAGCCAGTCTATTGTCGATCGTTCTAAAACTTAGCCGTTGAGAGAGATAACGACTGAAGCAGTGTCACTCACTTCATTTGCTCCGCCTCTGTTGAAGTTCGTCTGCGCCTTAAATTGTCGCCAAATTCAATATGCTAGCATTTAGTCTTCGTTGACGGGGAGGGGGGAGGGAACCAGGACAATTATGATCAATATAACTTGACGAATTATTAAATTACAAGTTACAAAGCCTAAACCACACCCACTATCAGAGAGGCGGTTCTCACTTAACCCTTAGCTCAAGACAGACCCGTCAATAGTCTGAACAAGAGGTATCACTAAAATACGCAACGGAGATTATTTTGGCGCTACGGACGCAGCGGAAATATTTTTTGCAAAACAGGCAAAACGTGTGCGACATGTAATTCATTAAAATAATTAACATTTAAGTTATAAAACAGATTGAGTGAAAAAGTACGTTTATTTTAAAACGAATCACAAATATTTGCAATAGTTTATTTTCAAGGATTCTGTGACCAACGATTGTTCTCTTTTGCCTAGATTTTTTTACCATACCTAGATTCTAGGCGAATATGCAATCTTTTGTTTATTCAAGTAGTTTAATCTTTTATAAATAAGTACACAATACGTAACAAAGAATTGATTATATATATCAATTTATTCATAACTATTATTTGATATTACAGACATATTTGTAAAATAACTGACAGTTCGTCCTCAAAATAATTCGAACATTATGCAATTCACACCAATATTTAAATGGACATATTCTCGGCACATATTGTCTTGAATTCATTTTAAGTTTATCGATCATTTCAATTTCACTTGTTATTCAATTTATTTTGCTTCGACCAGACGTTTCAATTTTTGTCGCAACAGACAAACATTTCAGAATTTCAGACACATACCAAGAACATGGAGAAAAAATTAATTAGTGCTTCGGATATTCAGCTGTTATATAGAGAACGATTTTCAATTCTGATTTTGTACATTAGCTGTGACTGTTCACATCATTTGGCGACGTCTTTGATGTGCAGCATCAACATTTAACTTGTAGACGTTTGAAATATGAATTTTCTTTTCAAAACGGATCAGTACATGTGCTGGGATTGACAAATATATATTTTATTTTGCTTTTCCACTTATAAAACCCATAATACAGAGGAGACAGTAAGGTGGTCAAATACTCGCTAAAGAAAAACACCGATACTAGGATTTGCACGGCGCAGAACCAAGGTATTGAGCCAGCATTGAGGGGGCCGACAAAAAGGAAGGAACTTGGCTAATTGGGCTCCTGTCCTGTCTCCGAGGTGATTAAGCCGAGGTGGTTAATTGACCGGTGCGTTGTTTTTTTTGTCAGTGAATCGGCAACAGCACAAGAAAGAGTTACTTAAAAAATAGTGTAGACTTTTTGATCAACAGTGTCATGTTTAAGATATTCCTATTATAGTAGTATATTTTAATACTTTTACTATGATTCTGTGTATTTGCCTTTCTTGCAAAATGACGTTACAGTAATACATGTATACAATGAAACGCATTAACAACACGTTGCTTCTGATATAATTTCATCAACCACAAGAACATTTTATCTTTTATAACGTACATAATGGGGATAATAATCAGTATTTACAAAGATAAAATGGAGTTTTAAATTATTACAGGAGATGCCCTTAATGAATTAAAGAAATAAGCATACATGAATATTCAGATATGAAGCATTTCAATGAAATAATTTATACTACGCAACATAGCCTGTAACCATCCACTCATACATGTTAACATGTCCCTGATAATGAATCATATATCCATCCGTTCATTTACAAAAAAATGACATTATAAATAATCACACTGTACTTTGATAAAGGTAAATATTGTTACAAAGTCTATATCTCTGGTTTCACAGTCCGGTATCATTCAACAATGCCAAACTAAAGATGTTTTAATCATCCGGCTGTTGTTTCTCAGCAAGCTTTCGATATGAATTCAAAAACGAGTACATGATTTTTGCACGGTCCTGAGTCAGATGTAATCATGAACATATTTCCTCCCTTCAAGACAGAAACGGCTCTTGGGAGCCAGAGATGCTGTGTTAGCAGACGGTGATGCCTTTCAGAATCATTCGTACATAATATTACCTGCTGTACATTGCCTGTAGAATTACTACAGACTAGCAAGTTTCCATTATCGTCATAGTCAACGCCTAACGGGGCGCCCATTTTATCGTGAAAGATGCTCTGCGAGGTAAAACTACCTTCCAACCACTGTGATGAAATGCATGTCACAGTTCGTAGGCGAAAATCTGTTACGAAGATTTTCAACTCATCTCCATTTCTACGGACTTTTAAGTATCGGGGATCCGAAAACAACTTTTCTTTCATAAACTCGTCTTTTTCCAAAAAACACCGCATTTCAGTGCCGTCTTTATTCAAAATGCTGACAGATGATTCCGGATACCCTTCCCTGGAGACGACAATGCATTCTTCACTTAAAAAATCTACGCCAAAGCACTTCTGCTTCGTCTGAAGATTATCTGTCAACATTATAGAGGTATCTTTGATACAAAAGAACTGAATTCTCTTATCATAGGGAAGAGTTACACAGCCAGTGTTCCCTTGTTTATCGACAGCTAAACATTGTGGACCGGATTTCAAAACGAGGCTATTTATCTGACCATTGTTAATTATCCACTTGATACATTCATTTGCTTTATCAGCTATGATAAGGAAATCAACCTTTAAAAACAAGCAGTCAGTAAGCCAGCAGTCATTGTCATCATCATTTGCGCGCATGTTAATCTTATGCACCAGTCTTACTTTTTCACTCATGTCAACAAGTTTGTTGTCAGATTTTATGTTCACAAGTTCACCAAAATAGTCAATTTGCTTTGTTGTTAAGTTCTTATTCCTCCTATTAGGCAAATGTACAATACCCATGCTTTTGTTTTCACGTTTGTGTTTATCTAGAACATTTTTAAACTGTTCAAGCCTATCAAAATTGTCAAGTGCCAATTTCTTATGACATTCTATTGCTTTTTCCATTTGCTGGCATTCTATCTCGGTTTGGATAACTCTGTATGGCTTTGTTTTTACTGTTTCCTGTTTGAGTTCATTTAGATAGTTCAGAGACAGTTGTATTTGTTCATGATATGATTCCAAGCGAGTAATTCCACATCGAACGCCACCTAACATATCATCAAAGTTGTAACATTTTACTCTGTTATCCATACCTATCAATTCCTTAGCTTTATCAAAAAGTTCCAGATCATTTTTCATTATAACTGATAACTGACACAACACTTTTTTTAATCGGTCGACCAGTTGTTCCAGAGAATGACCTACTCCATACTCACCAAATTCATCGTCGAGTTGTGTCACATGTTTACAATCTACGTGCATCGTCTTCTGACATGTCCTGCAGCATTTTTCTTCGCAGTTTAAGCAGTAAAGAATAAGTTGTCGGAAAATGTGAATCTTGCAATTTTCAACGGCAATATGGGAGTTGTCTGACAAAACACACTTAACTGCAGAGAGGTTCAATAAAGAGTCTTTCGGGTGTGTATGCCTGTGAATAAAAGCGCACTGTACACAATATTTCTCCGTGCATGTGAAACAAACAGAAGTGGCTGCAACTTTTTGTGACACCTCAATACAATTGTCACAATACTCTGTTACACCTCTTACTTTCCCATTGCAAATTTCTAGCATTGTCACTAATTTTAGATTATTTTCGAATTGACTAGCCCATTTACTCACTTCCTGCGATGGTTTTAGCGGTGTTAATTCCCTCTTATCAATAGGACAATTAAAATATGTTTCTGAAGGTTTAATATCCGGAGTTTTCTTATCTAAGAAATCATATATATTATATCCGACCATTGGAACTGTCCGAATTATATGACATTGTAAACACCTTTCACATATATCATGTCCACACGGTAAATGTTTAGGATTTTCAAAAAGTTCCTTACAAAGTGGGCATTTCAAATGGGATGAAATGGCGTTTAGATCCATTGTAATATCACTACAAACTTATTCATAAATTTTGACTGATATATAGAGGTTATCAAAACCGAAAGTTAACCGATCCTATATATGGGTGAACTAAACCGAAAGAAGAATAAATACAATGTAAAATGTATATTTAATATTTTGATATCAAATATACAATATACTCCTGTATAATTATGTTAAATATACCTATTTTTCTTATATTAAGATCTACGTTAATCATGCATTTTTCAACACTATTAAAGATAAACGAGATAAAATTTAAGAGGAATGTCAAAAATTTCCGTTTAAAGATATAAATAGATATATTGCGTTGAATACAGAGTTTGACGAAGTAGCTCTTATTTTATAATTTGATTGCTATTTTTGATCAATTAATCTTGAAACTTGCTTCTGATACATCTACATTAAAATATATTTGTTATAGCACGATGGTTGCTCTGAACTTACTTAAGATAAATAACAATATTCTTTAAACTAGTCGTCTAAAGCTATGTACGGAAGTGCTGAGGGGACATTATGACTTAACAGTTGAAATTTAAGACTTAAGACTATGTACTAAAGAGTTAAGACTTACTATTTAATACTATGGAGATGATTAATACTCAATCCCGCGTCATGGAGGGAGGTTAGTAAATTTTCGTTGATAATTAGTCGCCGGTAGAAACCGGCGACTATATTTGTAATAGTTTAATATTATACCTATGGTAGGAGAAGCCCTTAAAATCTGAAAATAAAAGCATATCAATCATTGAACAATTAAAGACAACAATTATTTTTCAGTAATTACAAAAAATCAAACATATGATAACTTTGCCCAGTGGAATGAAATATGCACATATTGACGTCTTAAAAAGCAACATTACAATTTTCATAAAATGTATCAATAACGTATCCCCAAGGATCAGTCATTGAATATTAGAGATACTTTTACTTTTTTCTATGTGTCAAGCATTGCTATTTTATAATAAATAAATCATGAATGATATTTGAAATGACACTTTAGAATTATTTGGTTGTTTATTTTTTATGAGACCTTTTATATTACATTATTTTATCTAATTATAAACAAATGCTCCCTGGTCTTTCGTAAGAATCACGTGACTACATGTTTATATATGTTGTATATCGTTATAAAATCTATTAATAGTTACAGATTGCTGATAAGACAGGTAACTTGTTAATGGTGGTAACTGATAAGATGTAAATCGTTGTAATTTTGTACAGATAATTACATAAGTTATTTTTCATTAATCAGGTTCATACTTTATATCATAAGAGAAACCTGTTTACATTAAAAATACATTTTCAAAACCTTTCCCTTTCTTCTTGGTAAAGGGTTTAACTTGGCCCCTTCTGTAAAACATTCGACAAGAAAGTTCAATTGTTTAGTTTAGGTTGAACATCCCAAAATAATGTTATGCTTAAGAGGCACATTATTGAAATATATAATGGTAATCGTTGATTTCGGTATATTCCGTCGGTTTCCGTCACGCAGGTTTCCAAAACGGTATGACGTCAGGGGTCCGGAATCGTATTAGATACATAGAAAAAAATAATTAACTATCTTTGTGTTGATAGTTTATCGCACTGAAAGGCAATTAAACGTTAATTTTATATATCGTCTGTAACGATTGGAATACGTGTATTGATTTCAACTAAATTATATATTTTTTCTATAGCACATAATAATGATGTACAACACTTTTACAGTAAAATTGTATTGTTTCATGTAATAATTAAACATATATATTTTCATAGTCACTTTGCAAATATTCGATGATCGGTAATTATTTGTCGGTAATTATCTGAATCTGAACTAGTAACCTATACGGATTTCAATGTATGGTACAACAGTATATGTATAAAGTATAATTACAAGAAGAATTACCAGCATAGGACTTGCCTTACAAGCCTCAGTGGCAAACATTACTCAACTCATTGTTCCTCTTATTTTTATACTTGAACCATTAAACTTATATTTTCTTATATTTATGATAATACAATCATTTTTCTATCCGGCGACTTGATGCTTTAGCATCAAAATCTCTACTTGTTTATTTATGTACTGGTAAACCATTCGAAATACTCACTCCTCGAAACTAACTGTTGACTGCCACCTAGTGTAACACTGATTGAATTATACTAGATCTAGAGCTCGCAGGGCCTTTTTTTCATATTATCGCATGGTTTGGAACTTTTCCTTTGTTCTTACTAACCCATTATACTCAGTACATTTCAATGAGCATTTGAAAACTGTATTGATATATAACAGTACAGTTTTTTCATGCTTCATATAGGAAAAAAAATCGAATGATATATAACGGTTGAGTTTTTTTCGCACCTGTTATATATCAATGCAGTTTTTTTCACAGTGGCTCCAATGGGGCAGTGGTAACGAAATTCCCAGTAGCAAAAAAAAATGCAATCAATAAAATAAAATAAAGTAAATAAATTAATACAGTGAAAAATATAAACAAAGATAATTAATGAAATGAAATTTACTCTCATTTAATCAAAAAGGTACATCCGCTGAATGAATTATTTCCACTGAAAAAAGCTCTTTAACCCATTACTTCATGAGCATTTTGTGAAAAATGGCGGTTTTCAGTGAAAAGTCTCCCGTTACAAGTTCAAATTGCTATAAAACTACAAAAACTGCTTCAATACTAATCAAACTTGGCACAAATGTTATCTGGACAATTGCATTTGTAACAACATACTCAGGCTTAAATTTCCTGTTACCATGGCAACGAGGGGACATCTCAAAATTGCCAAAAATCACTATTTTGCATTGATTTTTTCCATCAAAATTGATTTCAAAGTGCTGCAACTTCTCAATGGATTGAGATAGAGTCAGATGCTTTTCAGCGTTGGTTACACGTTACATTTTGATCGATCTGGGGTCATTTTTAGCCTCTCACAAGTCCAAAATTTTCTTGGCGATGAGGGGGATTTATTTGTATTACAAAAAGAGAAAACATTATGCCATTGCGATAAAACAGTTATAGTATATGAAACTCGTTAGTTACGGGGGTATAACACTGGCTGAGGTGACATCTCGGGATGTTTCTGCAAAAAAAAATTGTCTCGGCCTAACGACCTCGACATTTTTTTAGCAGAAACACCCCTTGATGTCGCCCCAGCCAGTGTTATATCCTCGTAACTAACTCGTTTCATGTACTATAACTATTACTTAACTTAATTAATTATCACAACCTTATATTGGTGGTCGTTTGGGGCGGTTTGTGGTAGTTTGAGTTCGTTTGGAGAAGTTTTGGGTGGTTGGGATACGCTAACCAAAACGTACCCCGGTGAAAAGTCAAAACGTACTCCAGTTAAGAGTCAAAATGTACTATCGGCGAAGTCAAAACGTACTCTCGACGAAGTCAAAACGTGCCCCACACCCCCCCCCCCCCTTATTGTTGACCAATCAATGACAGATGATAGATTAATAATCTGTTATTAGCTATTATTTAGTGGTGTTTTCTCGCATTTTTGTAGATTTATTTTGTTCTAATCATTGTTACTATGAAATTTAAATTCTACTTCAGTACTTTTAATGACAGTGCATGTTTTGATTTCATAAATCTGTAACGATTTACTCCGTCTAAGAGGCATTCATACATGTACGGCTTGTTTTGTATAATATTTAACCAAATTGTTTTATTAAAATAAATACATGTAAATGTAATTTATAAAACATTAACTTTGATCTACATTACGTCTGATGCCATATTATTTTAGGCAAATATAAAGGTTTAATTCATTAAATCATCAAACATAAGCACTAAATTAAATATGTAAGATGTATATTTTACAATTGATGAAATGATAACATTTCTAGCTTTTGTATCTGTTTTTTTTATTGTCAACAAAGTAACTCCAACTGTATGAAACGTATGAAAACTTCTGACTCGGAATTTTTACATAATATCTTTGTGCCAAATTTGTTTAACAGTTTATATAGACAAACTACTTCTCTGTGTCCAAAACCTATACAGGGAGCATCAGCCTGTACGACTGGTTTGATCTTTACGTAAACTGGGGCTCAGAGTAGTACAATATTGGGGCACCATTGCTCTCCTTTTAATTATGTTTTGCTTTTTTGCAGACTGTCCAAAGACATCAAGGAAATGGAAGAAAAAAGATATACTCTTAATATTGGCTGGATTCACCTAAATAAAGGAAAATACCGTGTTGCTACTGGGGTCAAAGGGGATGGAACCAGGTCATTTACATATGATAAGAACCACCGATTAGATATAGAGGAACTAATAGCAATAGGAAAAAACTTGTTTTCCCCAAAGTCCAAAAGTGTTTGTGACCATCTAAATGAAATGGATGTTTGCCTCAGTAATTTTGCAGGCACACAAATCAGATTCAGAAAGAAAACATTCTAATAGCAAATGACTTCAATGTTGTTAAGTAATGTGATATCAGGAACACTGATATGACAACTCTGACTGGATACTGTACCTGCTTACCAAGCACCAGAAGTTCTTCTGAGCATGTAAAGCGCCTCCTTGTCAACAGACATTTGGAGTCTGTCATGTACATTGTTAGAAATCATGACAGAACTACCAGTGTGAGAGCTGTCTGTATAACGCAGATGAGGAATGAGGCTGAACCAGATGGCCTAAAACACCTGAAACTTAAGAGGGATAGTAAAAGTGCCACTGTATGCAGGATGTTGGAACAGGATTAAGCTACACAGCATGTGACAGGCCATCAGCTCTTGACTTTATTTGTGGTTTGATTGTCTAGATTTAATTTGATTGGAGTTTTTGCTGCATGGAAGTTTGTGACGCAAAATACTTTCATGTTTCTTGGAAGATTGACTTGAAACTTGAAATATGTTATGACCATGAAGTGAAAATGCAAATACATGTATGTAAATGTCGACATAATTTTCATTTTGATTTGTCAAGCCAGTCATGTGTCATAAACCTGGGCAATATTTGGCCCCTCAGCTTTAGCAATTTTTTATCATTTGGCATTTAGATATAAAGTTATTATTGCCAAGTCATTATTGGTCCATGAACACAGCGGTGTGAGGGTATTGGTCATGTCTGTGACAATTGCAGTTTGAAAGTCACAGGGTCTTGGTGTTTAGCAGGGAAATTTATTTTCTCACAATATTGTTTGATTACATGTATGTTACATTACCTGATCTAAATTGCTCTAATGGGTAAATGTATTTTCATGTGTTATTTGTTGCAGTTACAAAGATTGTTGTTTTGATTTTTGTTATAAAACTTTGTTT